TGGTGTTACTGGAAGCCCTTTTGCTGGGTGTCTCCCTGGATGGTATTACTGGTGTCTCCTGGATGGTGTTACTGGAAGCCCTTTTGCTGGTGTCTCCTGGATGGTATTACTGGAAGCCCTTTTGCTGGTGTCTCCTGGATGGTATTACTGGAGGCCCTTTTTGCTGGTGTCTCCTGAGTGGTGTTACTGGAAGCCCTTTTGCTGGTGTCTCCTGGATGGTGTTACTGGAAGCCCTTTTGCTGGTGTTTCCTGAATGGATGGTATTACTGGAAGCCCTTTTTGCTGGTGTCTCCTGGATGGTGTTACTGGAGGCCCTTTTGGTGGTGTCTCCCCTTTTGCTGGTGTCTCCTGGATGTATTACTGGAAGCCCTTTTTTGCTCCTGGTGGTCTTACTGGATTTTCCCTGGTGTCTCCTGGATGGTGTTACTGGAAGCCCTTTTGCTGGTGTCTCCTGGATGGTGTTACTGGAAGCCCTTTTTGCTGGTGTTTCCTCAATGGTACGTATTACTGGAGGCCCTTTTTGGTGGTGTCTCCTGAGTGGTGTTACTGGAAGCCCTTTTGCTGGTGTCTCCTGGATGGTGTTACTGGAAGCCCTTTTGCTGGTGTCTCCTCAATGGTACGTATTACTGGAGGCCCTTTTTGCTGGTGTCTCCTGAGTGGTGTTACTGGAGGCCCTTTTGTTGGTGTCTCCTGGATGGTGTTACTGGAGGCCCTTTTTGCTGGTGTCTCCTGAGTGATGTTACTGGAGGCCCTTTTGTTGGTGTCTCCTGGATGGTGTTACTGGAGGCCCTTTTTGCTGGTGTCTCCTGGATGGTATTACTGGAGGCCCTTTTTGCTGGTGTCTCCTGAGTGGTGTTACTGGAAGCCCTTTTGCTGGTGTCTCCTGGATGGTGTTACTGGAAGCCCTTTTGCTGGTGTCTCCTCAATGGTACGTATTACTGGAGGCCCTTTTTGCTGGTGTCTCCTGAGTGGTATTACTGGAGGCCCTTTTGCTGGTGTCTCCTGAATGGTATTACTGGAGGCGCTTTTGCTGGTGTCTCCTGAATGGTATTACTGGAGGACCTTTTGCTGGTGTCTCCTGGTTGGTGTTACTGGAGGCCCTTTTGCTGGTGTCTCCTGAATGGTGTTACTGGAGGTTCCTTTTGCTGGTGTCTCCTGAATGGTATTACTGGAGGCCCTTTTGCTGGCGTCTCCTGAATGGTGTTACTGGAGGTCCTTTTGCTGGTGTCTCCTGAATGGTGTTACTGGAGGCCCTTTTGCTGGCGTCTCCTGAATGGTGTTACTGGAGGCCTTTTTGCTGGTGTCTCCTGAATGGTGTTACTGGAAGCCCTTTTTGCTGGTGTCTCCTGAATGGTATTACTGGAAGCCCTTTTTGATGGTGTCTCCTGAATGGTGTTTAAAAAATGCACTAATATCACACACTGATCAAGCTTTGAGTTAACGCCATACTTCCTCCATTTGTGTCGGTATGACGGGACGCGGATGGACCAGTTGCTTTTAAGCGGAAACTAGCTGTGTGTCTCTTTATTGTTCCAGAATCTTGGGTTCGAGTTCCAAATATTCCCAGAGTCTGATTTAAGCTGACTGACTCACTCACTCACTCATCCACTCACCGACTCACTCATGCTTTTGTATTTAAAGAAACTGTAGCTTTTTATTTCGGTGAAACCTGTCACTTGTGGTATATTTTAAGTTGACCATTTTTAGCTTTACAATACTAATAAACATTTGAAAAGACAGAACTTTACAATACGATGAAACGATTTACGATAGGGGAGTGTCTGCTTTGTTTATTGACATCCTCTTTAAAAATACCATGTAGATTTAGTCGGTTGTTAGTTTTTGTCCGTTTGTAAAGCCTCGTCGCTATCCCGTGTCAAAAGTTAGAGAATGCGAGCACATGAAAATGTTCCCTTCTGTATTCCATATCTAACACATCACAAACATTGAGTATGTTTGAACCAGGAAAAGCCTCTTTATGTCACGACAAAAGACATGATAATGATATTTCATAAAACGCACAATGGCCATTCTCAGCAACAATTGTGATTTCATCAATATGGTTTTAGACTGTGCGGAAATTGGTATGAGTTGCTTTCTGTAGAGGGAAGTGTTATTTATCTCAGTGATAGTTTTGGATTTGGCGGTACAGATACGTAATTCCAGGAGCTGGATACCCACATTGATGCCCTTGTCGACAGTTTCTTGGCTTTGAGGTAGGTGATAAGCGACATTTAATATGTGTAGGTTTGACAGCAGTAGCTTTGTTTTATGGGCTGTTTAACTTTAGATTTTGTGAGTGACGATAATCCCTGTTGTTATTGTGGTTAACCCACGCGTGGTCTCATAAATAAAACAACTGTTAATTCCCTGCTGTGAGGTGAGAGGTGTCGGGCTCTTCTCATTTAGTCACCACCTTTAGCATGACACTGGGCCAGTATAAATACAGCAACTGTTAGTTCCCTGCTGTGAGGTGAGAGGTGTAGGGCTCTTCTCATTTAGTCACCACCTTTAGCATGACACTGGGCCAGTATAAATACGGCTGAAAAGTAGGTCATTTCTGAATAGGTTAATGAGATTCAAGTTTCGGTTTGTCAGAACTGAAGTACTGGAAACCTGCAATGAAAATACCAAACGATAAGAAATTGCAGGTACAGTTTATATTTATGAAAAATATGTTTTGAATAAATTGTCGTACAAAAATATATCATCCCAGGTATTCCGATACAGACAACGCTTTACATGTTTGTCTTTTGTGGCAGATAGACAATTATAGTGGACGCTCCTGATTTTCTAAATCTATAGTGTAACATCAGTAACTAATTAAATCCAATGAATAACGTTCTTGTCCAAAGAACAATGTGAGAACCTGTCATCCTCCACAAACTGGCCGTGTTGTCACAAGATCAGAAAACCAAAGTGGGACTCCACTGTGTTGCACACCAGGAAGCCGACTGTTACAGCGCAGAGGAAGCAGAATGTACTAGATAACGAAAGGTTTACACCATCGCTTGGTTATGTCCGAGCCGCCTACAGACCCTTAGACTGACTCTACATGGTTGTGTTTCCCTACACAGCATGGGAACGACTCCGTCTCCCAAATGTAGTAATGCTTGTTTTACTCATGTACATAGTAATTACGCTGCGTCTACTAATAGTGGGAGTGACCACCGCACTCGCTATATAGTAATGATTCTCCACCAAATATAAACAAGTATATCTTACCCTCCACCTTAGTGAATGAGTGAGTGAGTGAGTGAGTGAGTTTTACACCGCACTCAGCAATATTCCAGCTATATTGTGGCGGTCTGTAAATAATCGAGTCTGGACCAGACAGTCCAGTGATCAACAGCATGATCATCGATCTGCGCAACTGGGAACCGATGACATGTGTCAACCAAGTCAGCTAGCCTGACCACCCGATCCCGTTAGTCGCCTCTTACGACAAGCATAGTCGCCTTTTGTTGCAAGCATGGGTTGCTGAAGACCTATTCTACCACGGATCTTCACGGGTCCCCTCAACCCTTAATAGTAACGATTTTTTTCTGCACTCTTTATAGTAATGACCGATTCTGCACCTAATATTAAAATATCTGATCCTCCACCCTTAATAGTAACAACTTTTTTTCTGCTTCCTATACAATAATGGCCGATTCTCCACTCTATAAACAATATCTGATCCTCCACCCTTAATAGTAACAACTTTTTTTTTCTGCTTCCTATACAATAATGGCCGATTCGCCTCTCTATAAATAATATCTGATCCTCCACCCTTAATAGTAACAACTCTTTTTTTCTGCTTCCTATACAATAATGGCCGATTCGCCACTCTATAAACAATATCTGATCCTCCACCCTTAATAGTAACTGCTCTAGTTTCAGCCCCATATATAGTAATGCCTGATTCTCAAACCCTTGCCATGAGAATAGACGCGGATTCACGTGATAATAATAACTGATGTTTCACGGTAAATGAGGTGATGGACAGAAGGGCGTCATCTAACAAAATATATGTCGACTAACGCATCGAGTCTTGTTACACTGTTGAATTATTTATCTCATTAAAGATATTAAATATTAATAGCTGTGACACTTTTGTAATCGAATATGACAAGCCAGTTTTTAATAATATAGTAATGACTTTCTTCACCCTGTATAGTAATTCCTTGTGTGTTCCAGCAACGTGAAAAATAAGTAAGCCTTGCCTCCTACCTCTGTATAACTTGAATACTGTTTAAAGCAACGTTGAACCTGACCCACTCACTCACCACACCGTGGCTGTCTGGTATGTTTTCATATGTGTACATGGCGGGAGTACCGCAGAACGGGGTCAGACAATAGCACATACGTTTTTAGCAGCATGTGAGTGGTTAGTGATACGTTTGTGTTACTGATGCATTGTCAATGTTAGAAAACTCCACTGTGCAATGTGACACATTTAAATTTGTTTGTGGGACTCACGCATTTCAATTCAGTGTGACAGTGGCCGCTTCAGCTCAGAGACAATTACATAAATTTGGCCATATGAGGCACACAAAGTCAGCCATCTAACCTATTTAGCCACCAAGGCTTTGTGTGCTGGCGAGTGTGGGTTCTGAGAGTGTGGGTTCGAATCCCGAATGGGACTCAACCCAACAAAAGTACTAGAATTTGTACTTTACTGAGAAAGCGTAACCCTAAATATACATTTGATCACATTGTAAACAGCATTGCTTTTTCATAACAGTGGTGTAGTCACCATGTTATGTCACATGTGACTGGTCTAGCAACTCCACAACAGTGATAAAGTCACCGTGTTATGTCACATATAACTGATCTAGCAACCGTCACATGTGACCGAGCTGGCAGCTCCACAATAGTGATTTAGTCACCATGTTGTGCTACATGTGACCTAGCTTGCAACTCCACAACGGCGATAATGTTATGCGACCGAGCTACTTATGAAATAACAGTGACAAAAAGAACCGTTACGTTACATGTGACCGAGGTCTCTAGTCAACAACAGTGGCCTTGTCAACGCGGATGTTCATTACCGCTCACTTTTCCTCCTTTACTGTGAAACTTGGAATACACACAAATGTGATCCAGTCGGATATAAGATCATTGAGACAACTGGTAGGTGTTTTGAAACCCTTGTCATGTATGCAAGTGCTCGATATTATACAGTAGAGGTCCTAATCTGTGTATGCCAATACTATATGCAACTTCTAAGCCGAGCAGTGATGTTTTGCTGCGATAATCTTCTACCGGATGTCAAAATATTTGATACAAGGAAAGAAATGTCAGCTATATTAAAGCACTCTACCCAGGTTTCACAGAGCGTTCAGGCTAAGTGCGTATGATTTTATGAAAGTGTCACGTTCACAATTATTTGAGCTAGATTTTTGCCACGGTCTAGGAAAGTTTAAAAAACATTAAAACTGACATGACACGCAGCAATCTCACGTTATATTTGACAAGCCATGTCCTGTCTTGATTCGGAGATCTTCACCCCATCTAGGATAGTGAGGTAATTATGAAGTTTAGACATGAACTCTTGGTATATATTCTTTTGTGGAATATTTCCCTGTTACAAGGGTAAACGTGCTCATTGCAGCGAATCGGTGGACATGTCCACTAAGTTTTCGAAAGTTTACGAGCTATCGTAAACATACAGTTTATTTTAGGCTTACGAATATCGTAGTGTTTCGAAAGCTCTGTGGATTTGGCCCCATAAAGCGATCGTAGAGTCCATAGTGTGGGACTTACGATCACCTTAGCGCTGCTAACGGAAGCGAGATTCGTCGCAAGTGTTCTAACTTTACGATCACTTTGATGTGGTTAATTGTAGATGTGGATAAGTGGTTTGTATTCACATGGGATGTAAAGTCACACAAATATAGATATTATCTACTGAGCTAGACTCCATGTACTTGGTGTATGCACAAAGCTCTAACATTTTTACCTCTGTCAATGATCAGTGTTCATTCTCAGCTTTCTGGGAGTCTATAACCTAAGTTACATTGTCCAGCACAAGAAGGTTACAAGTCATACCATTATCATATTATTCAGTTATCCCACATTTATACACATAACATTTTGTGTGTAGTTTGATCATAGACATCACCATATGATCGTGTACGTAGACGTGGCGTAGTTAGGTCGTTTACCAACTTGAAGTGTTACATGTTGTATGTAGTTTGATCATGGACAAAGCAATATGATCACTTCATGTAGTCTCAGATTAATACTTACATCTATTCCAGCTTCAGATGCTGCGTCTTTTTGTATGTAGTTTGATGATAGATATACCTATATGATCACTTCATGTAGTCTTAGATTACTACAGATATCTATTCCAGCTTCAGATGCTGCGTCTTGTATGTAGTTTGATCAAAGATATACCTATATGATCACTTCATGTAGTCTTAGATTAGTACTAATATCTATTCCAGATGCTGCGTCTTGTATGTAGTTTGATCAAAGATATACCTATATGATCACTTCATGTAGTCTTAGATTAGTACTGATATCTACTCCAGATGCTGCGTCTTGTATGTAGTTTGATCATAGATATACCTATATGACAACTTCATGTAGTCTTAGATTAGTACTGATATCTATTCCAGCTTCAGATGCTGCGTCTTGTATGCAGTTTGATCAAAGATATACCTATATGATCACTTCATGTAGTCTTAGAATAGTACTGATATCTATTCCAGCTCCAGATGCTGCGTCTTTTTGTATGTAGTTTGATGATAGATATACCTATATGATCACTTCATGTAGTCTTAGATTAGTACAGATATCTATTCCAGATGCTGCGTCTTGTATGTAGTTTGATCAAAGATATACCTATATGATCACTTCATGTAGTCTTAGATTAGTACAGATATCTATTCCAGCTTCAGATGCTGCGTCTTGTATGTAGTTTGATCAAAGATATACCTATATGATCACTTCATGTAGTCTTAGATTAGTACAGATATCTATTCCAGCTTCAGATGCTGCGTCTTGTATGTAGTTTGATCAAAGATATACCTATATGATCACTTCATGTAGTCTTAGATTAGTACTGACATCTATTCCAGATGCTGCGTCTTGTATGCAGTTTGATCATAGATATACCTATATGATCACTTCATGTAGTCTTAGATTAGTACAGATATCTATTCCAGATGCTGCGTCTTGTATGCAGTTTGATCATAGATATACCTATATGATCACTTCATGTAGTCTTAGATTAGTACTGATATCTATTCCAGATGCTGCGTCTTGTATGTAGTTTGATCATAGATATACCTATATGATCACTTCATGTAGTCTTAGATTAGTACTGATATCTATTCCAGATGCTGCGTCTTGTATGCAGTTTGATCATAGATATACCTATATGATCACTTCATGTAGTCTTAGATTAGTACTGATATCTATTCCAGATGCTGCGTCTTGTATGCAGTTTGATCATTGATATACCTATATGATCACTTCATGTAGTCTTAGATTAGTACAGATATCTATTCCAGATGCTGCGTCTTGTATGCAGTTTGATCATAGATATACCTATATGATCACTTCATGTAGTCTTAGGTTAGTACAGATATCTATTCCAGATGCTGCGTCTTGTATGTAGTTTGATCATAGATATACCTATATGATAACTTCATGTAGTCTTAGATTAGTACAGATATCTATTCCAGATGCTGCGTCTTGTATGCAGTTTGATCATAGATATACCTATATGATCACTTCATGTAGTCTTAGATTATTACTGATATCTATTCCAGATGCTGCGTCTTGTATGCAGTTTGATCATTGATATACCTATATGATCACTTCATGTAGTCTTAGAATAGTACTGATATCTATTCCAGCTCCAGATGCTGCGTCTTTTTGTATGTAGTTTGATGATAGATATACCTATATGATCACTTCATGTAGTCTTAGATTAGTACAGATATCTATTCCAGATGCTGCGTCTTGTATGTAGTTTGATCAAAGATATACCTATATGATCACTTCATGTAGTCTTAGATTAGTACAGATATCTATTCCAGCTTCAGATGCTGCGTCTTGTATGTAGTTTGATCAAAGATATACCTATATGATCACTTCATGTAGTCTTAGATTAGTACTGATATCTATTCCAGCTTCAGATGCTGCGTCTTGTATGTAGTTTGATCAAAGATATACCTATATGATCACTTCATGTAGTCTTAGATTAGTACTGATATCTATTCCAGATGCTGCGTCTTGTATGCAGTTTGATCATTGATATACCTATATGATCACTTCATGTAGTCTTAGATTAGTACTGATATCTATTCCAGATGCTGCGTCTTGTATGCAGTTTGATCATAGATATACCTATATGATCACTTCATGTAGTCTTAGATTAGTACTGATATCTATTCCAGATGCTGCTTCTTGTATGTAGTTTGATCATAGATATACCTATATGATCACTTCATGTAGTCTTAGATTAGTACTGATATCTATTCCAGATGCTGCGTCTTGTATGCAGTTTGATCATAGATATACCTATATGATCACTTCATGTAGTCTTAGATTAGTACTGATATCTATTCCAGATGCTGCGTCTTGTATGCAGTTTGATCATTGATATACCTATATGATCACTTCATGTAGTCTTAGATTAGTACAGATATCTATTCCAGATGCTGCGTCTTGTATGTAGTTTGATCATAGATATACCTATATGATCACTTCATGTAGTCTTAGGTTAGTACAGATATCTATTCCAGATGCTGCGTCTTGTATGTAGTTTGATCATAGATATACCTATATGATCACTTCATGTAGTCTTAGATTAGTACAGATATCTATTCCAGATGCTGCGTCTTGTATGCAGTTTGATCATAGATATACCTATATGATCACTTCATGTAGTCTTAGATTATTACTGATATCTATTCCAGATGCTGCGTCTTGTATGCAGTTTGATCATAGATATACCTATATGATCACTTCATGTAGTCTTAGATTAGTACTGATATCTATTCCAGATGCTGCGTCTTGTATGTAGTTTGATCAAAGATATACCTATATGATCACTTCATGTAGTCTTAGATTAGTACAGATATCTATTCCAGCTTCAGATGCTGCGTTTTGTATGTAGTTTGATCAAAGATATACCTATATGATCACTTCATGTCGTCTTAGATTAGTACTGACATCTATTCCAGATGCTGCGTCTTGTATGCGGTTTGATCATAGATATTCCTATATGATCACTTCATGTAGTCTTAGATTAGTACAGATATCTATTCCAGATGCTGCGTCTTGTATGCAGTTTGATCATAGATATACCTATATGATGACTTCATGTAGTCTTAGATTAGTACTGATATCTATTCCAGATGCTGCGTCTTGTATGCAGTTTGATCATAGATATACCTATATGATCACTTCATGTAGTCTTAGATTAGTACAGATATCTATTCCAGATGCTGCGTCTTGTATGTAGTTTGATCAAATATATACCTATATGATCACTTCATGTAGTCTTAGATTAGTACTGATAACTATTCCAGATGCTGCGTCTTGTATGTAGTTTGATCATTGATATACCTATATGATCACTTCATGTAGTCTTAGATTAGTACAGATATCTATTCCAGATGTTGCGTCTTTTATGTAGTTTGATCAAAGATATACCTATATGATCACTTCATGTAGTCTTAGATTAGTACAGATATCTATTCCAGATGCTGCGTCTTGTATGTAGTTTGATCATTGATATACCTATATGATCACTTCATGTAGTCTTAGATTAGTACAGATATCTATTCCAGATGTTGCGTCTTTTATGTAGTTTGATCAAAGATATACCTATATGATCACTTCATGTAGTCTTAGATTAGTACAGATATCTATTCCAGATGCTGCGTCTTGTATGCAGTTTGATCATAGATATACCTATATGATCACTTCAAGTAGTCTTAGATTAGTACAGATATCTATTCCAGATGCTGCGTCTTGTATGTAGTTTGATCATAGATATACCTATATGATCACTTCATGTAGTCTTAGATTAGTACTGATATCTATTCCAGATGCTGCGTCTTTTATGTAGTTTGATCATAGATATACCTATATGATCACTTCATGTAGTC